GTATTTAGAATCTTTCACCAGTCAAAAAGAACTACGGAGGACATCTTATATTTCTAAAAGTTTGGTGAATTAGGAATTTCATCATATAAACACTTATTTTAATCAAATATATTTCGTACAATTGAATAAGACCTATTGCTATGAAGTACCAAAAAGTTAAATTTCTAAGAGCACACGGCATTATACATACCTGGGAGCTGGCCTCTATTATGTTGGGAGGAATTGGAATTTCCTGTCTGTATAGATCCGAAATGGGTTCACTTCTTCCTCCAATACGTGACATGGGTGCATCTCTTCCTCCAAGTCGTGCTTGAACAATGATGAAATTAGTTCCGCGAAGATTAATCCCATAGAATAGACCTTTCTCATCACTGGCATTATATATATACACACAATTAATGATGAGCATTTTCCTAACTATAACAAAGTTTTTCAGTATAGTAGTACTATGCACTTACTGACTTCAAATTCAATATCCACATCTAGAGAAAATGATCAAAATAGTCCTTCATGTATAGGGTTTGAATTATTTTGGCCCTTTATCTATACCATCTTATCAAAATAGTCCTTAATGTATACATAAAAAGTATCATTTTGGTCTAACCCTAAAAACTAACTGAAAACATAATTCTTTTTTGGTTAAGTTTAACTGTGGGTCCCACAATCTTCTTCCTCCCTCTTTCTTCCCCCATTGCTTCTCCTTCATGTTCAAAAAAAAGAACACGAAGGAGAAGCAATGGGGAAGAAACATAAAAAAAATTGTTAAGAGCCTCACTGTTCAAACCGGTACTCTTAATTCTCACAAAATTAATATACATATATAAAATCCATTTCTGTTGTATGCATGAAATTTAGGGGAAAATTAATGAAGTAAAATTAAAGTTGTGTAGATGTAAAGATAATTGATGAAGATCCAGTACTATAAATTAAATTTCTGCATTGGAATTGATCTCGTATATAGGTGGAGAATCAGGAGAAGGATCTACCAAGTACCAGAGGTCTCTGTCGATGCCGGCAAGTCCTCCGACGCCAGGTACGCCGACAAATATATCGCCCACGATATGGAAAGAGAATTTACGGAGGAGTGTTTTTAACCCAGGGAGCAATTTAGCTACATGAAGGAGAAGCAATGGGGAAGAAAGAGGGAGGAAGAAGAGTGTGGGTCCACAGTTAAATTTAACAGATTTTTTTTATGTTTTCAATTAGTTTTTAAGGCTAGGACCAAAATAATACTTTTTATGTATACATCAAAGACTATTTTGATAAGATGGTATAGATAAATGACCAAAATAATTCGAACCCTATACATGAAGGACTATTTTGGTCATTTTCTCTCCACATCTACTTAAAATTGAATGCAAATTTTAACTTCCATGTGGATTTTCATTTATATCAATTAATTAAATTAATCTCAAAATCTATCAAAAACACCCAACCTAATTATTAGCATATTCTCTTTCCCAAATCCTCAGTGTAAATTTATATTGAAGGAAAATGTAATCAACAATAGAGAATAAACTAGAAATGAAAAGTGTAGTAGGTACCCATTTGGGAGTGAAGGTAAGCAAGAAGGAAACATTTGAAGGGTGGATTGAGTTGAAGTTAGACCAGCGTGCATCTGAGCAACGAGATCATCAACAATTTGCCATAATTTAGGAACAGGGGTTGCACATTCTCTTGCGAATTTTCGGAGGATGCGTTGTGCATGCCTCCACCGTTGCTCGCTACGTCGCTTCCATTGCCTCACCAAAAGCACCGCCGCTACGACGGTGGAAACCGTTGTCACTGCTGCCAAAACCACCACATCCTTCTTCATTGATCTCTACTTCTTCCTCTTTCTATTAGGTAATTTTTTATAGTTCGTCGTTTCTCTACGGCAATGCATGTCAATTTTGTTGATCAAAGATAACTGAACCACGACATCCATGGAAAGAAGAACGAGTTTCATGAGTAAATTGAGGAGGAGGTGACAAAAATGGATTGACCAAGTCAAACTTTTTTTTAATTAGTGATTAAGATAATTGAGATCTAAAATGTAATATTTAAAAGTTCTAAACTTTAAAAAATATTCAAAATAAACCCAATTTTTAATTTCAAAATGTTTGAAAAGTTTTCCATCTCTTCTTAAATTTCAAAATTTAAAATCTCTTTCAAGATTTCTTTCTTCCTCTTCTTCCTTCTTTATTTCTCTTTCCAGATTTCTTCTTCTTCTTCTTCATTTCTTTTTCTCTTCTTCCATTTACTTGTTCTTCTTTGTTGTTGCTATCATTATCGTTGTCGTTCATTATTTTTTATCACGTTTTTTCTTTCTCTTGTTGGTTCTATTTCACAAACTAATTTGATTTAATTTTAAAATTTTTGAAGTGGAAGTTATTGAATTGTTTTTTTGTAGAAAATCAAGCAACAACTGAAGTTGTCGCAATAACTGCTGAAGTTATTGTAGCAATTGTTGAAGTTGTTTCAGCAACCGCTAAAGTTTGCTCAACAACTGTTGAAGTTATTGTAGCAACTGTTGAAGATTTTTCAACAATTGCTCAAGTTGCTGCAACAATTACAATAATTGTTGTAGCAAGGGAGGTAAAAAAGAGGATGGTAGAGTGGCAAATGAGATGTTGGTGATGACAACGAAGGTGGAGGTGATGATTGTTGTGGAGGCAGAGGTAGAGAAGAAGGTGGCGGCAACAATGGTGGTAAAAGAGGAAAAATAAGAGAGTGGTGGCAATGGAGGAAGAACTGATGGTTGTGGTAGAGGAGGAAGTGGTGACGACATCGGTTACGATGGCAACAGGGGAGGGGATGTCAGCGGCAGAAGGGTGGAGAGAAGGGAGGGTGTGGAATTAAGGAAAATAGGGCTTTTATGTAAATAATATAACTTGAGGGTTTTAAAATTAGTGTCATTAGCACTAATTTTAAAATTGTCACCTCTACTCAATAATTAAAACTTGTCACTTTTTCTTCATTTTGAAACTCTTTTGTCACCCTTAATTCATTAGTGGCTAAACTGTTTAGCGAGTGTATGATCCACTATAGTCTGGGTCCAGTCTAATCCGTACCGAACTACAATTGTGGGCTTTTGGGCCCAATTATTGTTACATCTATCATAGAAATGATGGAGCTTTGGCATTTTTAGCCAATTTATGGATGCTCAAATAGGATTTTCTTCAATTAATTAATAAGAAAAATGTGTTATTGTGACACTTAAATGTGATTGATATTAACGTTAATGAATAATGTGTAGTCCATAATTCACAAAATTTGATTTTATACATTTGTTGAAGCAAAACAATAACTTTCTCAAATAAGCAAATCATTAAGTAGTTTGCTATATTTGTCTGGTCAACTAACTACTTGATCAATATTGAACTGAGTGCAAAGACGGAGAATCTTAATAGCTAAGTTATATTGGTTAAACTATCTTCTTGGTAAGCTCCACCTTGTAATTTCCTCCCCATTTTCCTTTTCTTACCTCCAATTTAACTAAAATGAAACAAAGAGTAATTACATACATTATAATTATGTTATGAGAAAATAAACGTATCACTATAATTACTAAACTATGTAATTACATAGTTATATGTTTCCTAGAATTTCCAAATAATTTTTAAATCAAGATTGACAGGAATAATTTCTTATTTTTTTTAAAGTTGTTCAACTTTGAGACAAAAAAGGATTCGTATTATCCCATTAAATGATGCATTAACCGTCCAAAAAAGCAAAATAAATGAACAGGGAATATGATTAAAAAATTAAATAAATGTGAAGCATCAGGGAATAGTATTATAGTAACTTTTTGAGTTGATTTTCAAGTAGGGGGTGCTAAGGAATTCCAAGTCTTCTCTACTATTTCACTTACTAAAAGGTAATGGTAGTTCATCAAGTTTTTCTACTACTACTTTTCAAACATTTGAATTATATTTCTTCCTTTATTTGATTCAAGTAAAAGAAGAAGTTGAAACTTTTTGATGTTCTAATTTGGACAACGTTTAGTCAAATGGAAAAAAGAGCTTCATAAAGTTAAGTAAGACTATCGTATATGCTTTTAGGATAGAATACATAAAAATAAATACCCTAAACTATTCATGAATTATAATTTTAATATTCAAATGGGTGTTATTGGGGTTAATTTCATCGATGGTCACTAAATTTACTTTTTTGTAACACCAAAATCATAAAAAAATAATTTGTAACACTAAAGTCAGTAAACTATGTATTAGTTACCTAAAAAAATTTAAATTACCCAGAAGTCAAATTTTCGACACCAAAAAATAATGTCATCACCGTAGCATAATTCTGCCACTATGTACACATTAACTGGGAATTTTTTTAACTAATAATTCAAAATTACCTATGTTTTGAGTTCACTCATATTGCGTATAGAGAAAATTTATGAAGGATATTACGTTGTTATAGAAATATAATTTCGTAGAACGGAGTGGAAAATTTAGGATCACATTAGTTATTTTGTTGGCAATAGAGTTTCAGATGGTGTAAGAGAAACATTTAGGCAAGGTGTGTGTGTGAGTATTGTTTTAATTTCTTACTGTCTGTTTTTTTTTTAAATTTCCATTAATTCTTTTTTTAGAGTGTTAGAGCTTGAGCTGGGGGTCTATCGAAAACAACCGCTTTAAGATATCTCATTTTGATGTTAGACTACATTGAATATGTTGTTGTTGTATGTGTGCGGGTATTGAAACTCCTTAGAAAGACCATTGTAGTGAATTATCTTAGGGGATTTTTGTTGGCACGATGGAAGAGTACACCTAAGAAATTTGTCTATCTTCTTTGATTGTGCAAATTTATAGCTAGGATTGAGAAGAACGTGCATGCTACTAATTTCTTTAGAGCACTCATATTTATGGATTTTTATGTGTTATTTAAGAAGTTACAAGAAAAAACACTACTTGTTAAATTTTCTTTCCCTATCGCTGTGTATTATGCGTCAAATTTACAGAACTAACAAGAATGACACTATTCATATTCATATTCATATACCCAAATTAGAGACGATAAGAGGTTTCCACTAATTAACACCAATAAACATGTACTATTTATTACACCATCAACATAATTAAACAAAAACAATTGTGGAGTAGTATACAACAGAAGGCCAAAAATTAGTTACCTAAAGCCCAAAAACAGACAACATGTATGGGCCTGTAGCTAGCAGTCCCCCAAAGGAGAACAAGAAAATGACTACTTACTGGAGCTCCATGACTTGTCAAAAAATAGGGAGTCAGCCTCATTTGTCAAAAGCACAACTGGGGCTATTGTGATCAAACAGGTCCCAACTTTGTGACCCGAAAAAAAGAAACAAAAAACAATGCCCCAGTCCACAATAGTGAAAACCTTTTACCCAAAACCCAAGTCGATCATGAAACCCACCCTCACATTAATCTAAATTTTACACTGTCCCTTTGAAAATTAGCTTTTGAAATTCTTCTCTATGCAACTAGAGACATGGCTTATTCATGGCTATTGATAACCTTCATTATAGATAAACGTATTTTGTTCGCGACATTATCTGTTGTCATGTTCAACTGATGATCCATCTGTTTCAAAAATAAAATAAAATCTTATTAGCAAAATAGTAACACAATTGGAGTAGCTAATAGTTGTATGAATTTCGAAAGATTAAGTTAGTACCTGAGCAACAATAGTTATGTGTGTTGTATCATAACCAAATGGGATGACACTGCTACTAGTAATAGTGAGATGAAACATTTCTACTTGGCTGAATATTTCCTTTATTATTCCCTCTTGCTTTTTGCAACTAACTCTAATCAGGACATTTCCATCTGAAGCTCTAACTTCAATATCTGGGACGACTGATTTGTTGGAGTTTTCATTACAAGTTGAAGAATTGTCATAATTTGAGAGCAAACGACTTCTCTTAACTGCTACTACTGGTTCCTTATTAGCTTCTTCGTCGAGCCTTTTTACTTGTTCTTCAAGTTGTTTTATATATGTAATCGCATCTCCAAGTATTGATGCCTTATCCAACTGTTGGAGATCAACAAACACCGAAAAAAAAACATAATCAATCCCAAGTAACACTATTATTTTAGAATTTTATGTACAATATTTTCATATACAAAGTGGAGGGAAGATGTGAAGCCCTTAATTAATTAGATTCTTTTCTTAAAAAAATTAAAGCACACTACATATCTCAAGATTTTGCAGTAGCTACAAAATCTCATATATAAAACTCGTGTTGATCATGCTGCTAGATCTATTTAATTAAGCTTATCTAAAACTAGATATACTCTATATTTTCTATTGACTTGTAAATCTTTAACAAGAGCTAAAAGACTCCTAAAAATATAGGGCTCAAATCAAATGTACTAACATGACTAAAAGTTGTTGCTAATTACTAATAGCATATATAGATCTTATTCTTCATTTTCTCTTATTTGTGGTCAATGGAAAGAGATACTTCCAAAAAAGATTTCCCCTACCCAGCTAATAGTTACATTAAAATGGCTAAAGAGGTAAGAAAAAACTAATTTAGGAATAGTACCTTCTTTAGGTTAGGGATGAGGGTGGAGAGAGTTACGAAGTACTGCGTGAGTCGTTCTCTTCTCTTTCTTTCAGCCAAAACGTGGTCTTGAGCCTGCAAAGGCGTTCTACTATAATTCATCTTCTTCGTCTGAGAAATATCATCAGCGCCAAATCCCATGGCCTGGAACAGTTGCTTACTATCATCGTAATCAGAATCAGGAGAAGTATTTGATGAGGAGAAGTTTAAAGTAGTTCCTGATGGAATCTCAGTCTTAACAGATGTATTCAAATTTTCAAAGTAGTTTTGGGCAGTAGTAGTAGGAGTGGCTGATGGCGAATTGGAGTTGGAAAAGGAAATAACACTGGGGGATGAAGAAGGTGGAGAAGAAAAAGTGGTATTATTCTGGTAAATTGCTTTTGTTGAACTGCAAAAGGCTGGTTTCTCCTCAAATATTCCAGCAGCAGCCTGAGAAGCTTGAATATTATCGAAGGTGCAAGAGGTAAATAGGTCATTATTGAATGGAAAATCATCAAATGTGGCCATCATCTGGCCGTGATCAGTGTATTGAAGATCATTCATATTCATAACATCCTGTATTTGTCAAATAAAATGTTACTAATTACTAATCCACAAGGTATCTATAAAAATTCACAGGGAACATTCGCGAAAAAAAAAAAAAAAAAGGACTAGGTAGATTAGTACATGCTCATATATATATTATTTTGTCTTACCATTTCAGACCACCAGGTAGCTGATGAAATATCCATTGTTGAGGAGATGTATATATCTTTAATGATTAGATCGTGCCTATTTAAATAGATTCCAAAATCACAATTAGTATATTTGAGGAACACTGATTAAGCGTCGGAAATTAACGCTTTTGGTTTCAGATGTTGTCTGTCAACAATTCTTGTGTGTTTTATACCTGTACTTGCTTGAATTATTGTGTTGACTGGAAAGAAAGTAAAAGAAAAGAGGAAAAAGATTGAAAATCAATTTAAATATTGTGTTCTCACTGTCTATGATTATTGCTCTTTAGAAATACTAATACATAAAATATTACAAGTAATAGGGCACGTGTGAAAAAGGAAGCTTCAATTTTCTCTCTCTTGATTCAATTAATCAATGGAAATAAAATAGAGTTTATATTATGATACTTCCGACTTAATTTAATGTGACTTGCTTTCTTTTTTAGTGAGTTTAAAAAAGAATGATATATTAACAGTAAAATATTTATTTTATCATTAATGAAATGATTTACAATCCCATAAATTTCTATCATTCATTTTGGACCACAAGTTTTAAAAATATTCTTTTCTTTTTCGAATTAAACTACTTCACATAAAATGGAACGGAGAGTGTATAATAATTGGGGGAGTCCGTATTAACTTTTTGACCACTCTCGTCCCTTAACCAAACCGGGATTTACCCACCCACGTCTTTTGTTGGCAGTAGCGGTTCATTTTTGAACCCGAGTATTTTGCGCGTACCCGTGTGAATACACTACTTCCCTTATTTAATTTGTTGTATTGTATATCCTAATTGTTAGTAGAAATTATTTAAATATTGGGAAATGAAATATAATACTTAGTAGTAAGGGTAAAATAAGTATAAAATGATAATTTATTTTTTAATTTATCAATTAGATAAGTCATAGTGAATATAGTATATTTTTAGTATATTAGAAAAATAAAAGTAAACGGATGGAGATCAAACTTTAATTTGTAATGAATTTTTAGTTTTAGTCTATCCTAAAAAATATTCGTTATATATTTAGAAATAATTATTTTAAAAAAATTATCATTTACTTTCACTAATTAACAATACCCACACAAACATTTATAGTTTGTTTTTGAACTACGTTTTTTTTTGTTAACTATGGTGATTTGGGTCAATTTTTATGCCTATGTTGATTGATTTTATAAGATACTTATTATCTTTCCCTAACATAGAGATTAAATTATTGTGTCATCAATATTGTAACAGATGAGAAAAATAATTTAATATATATTTTGTGGATTAGAATTTAACTCAATTCATGGAGTGCTAAATCGTACACTTAGTGCAAGCATGCAAAATACAAAGGGCTATACTCTTTCTTTTTAAGCTTTTTGTTCTATCAAAATACATCATAAAATAAAACGAAGAAGTTAGGCTCGTTTGCTAAAAAAAAAATAGTATTAAAATGATTACTCGGTCATTGAATTGTTTTTTCAAAAGAAACTTTGGCCTCATACCCGATGCTTCATATATTATAATAAAGGTATGGTTTATTTAACACGTCATAATTAATCACCTTATTTGGTCTTCCCGTGTTTTAATTAAGACTTATAAAAGTTCAACTTGAAAGGGCATTGTAAGCAAAGATCATGTATCTAATTTGTGGATATCCAATTCAATGCTTATGACTTTTAAGTTTCCGAATTTTTCAATTAATGAATATTTATCATTACGTATTTTTGATTAAATTTCACAACTTTTCCAAATCCATGTTGCAACCTTATGAAGATTTTCCAAATCCATAATTATTATTAGAGAGGGATAGTAACACTTAATTATATCCTTATTATTTAAATAATTAAAATATGTGTTTTTTATCCCTTTAAGTATGTAGAGAATATGCTATATTTGTACTATTTTTTGAAGTTTGTTAACTTCAAATATGATGTAATAATATAAGTTTTAATTACATGATACATGAATTATCAAATGATGGAATATTTAATAATTCAGAAAATTTGAGAAATTCATATGAAGGGGAATTCAAAGTGCAAATTTTCAAGTAATTAAAGTAAGATGTACTTAATTAGATATCATAAAGACTAATATAAAAATTTACATAACTGAGGGACCAAATAAACCATAAAGTATTTTCAATCTCTCGCGCGTAACGCGATGGCCGGCAGGTTAAATGTATATTATTATTATTATTATTATTTTCACTCCAAAATTATTTATCTTTTGCTCGAGTTGGTATTAGCAACTGAGTATTTTATAGAGGCAAAAAAAAAAAAAAAACTTTAATGTGGATCGATCTTTTGAAGATTGTGGTCACCAACTTCATTTGAACAAGAAAGAGCTGTAGTCTGTAATTTATTTGTAGAAAAACTAAGGCAGGTTTTATTTAAAATAACTATTGACGCCGCAATACCTATTGGTCATTAGCACAACCAAAACTTAAAAGTTTATCGGTATTATTAATTAATTAAGATGCTAATAAATTAAGCCAACCAATTTACTTTAGGTTTCTCTCCAACGGCATTTGTTGACGTTGGGGTGTCGTCACTGCGATTATCTCCATTATGTTGGTTTTAATTATTTAACAGGTGGTTTTATTTCACTTCCATAATAGATTTCTTTTAAGTTATCACAACTGTAGTTGGTTGATAATCAAAGGCGCAGCTAGGTAGGGTTTATGGGTTCGGATGAATCCAATAGCCAGGAGCGGAGCCACCTTATACTAAGGGGTTCATCCAAATCTCCTTTGGAGGAAAATTATCTTATTTATACATGGTTAAAATAAATTTTTATGTATATATAGTAGATGTCGAACCCCCTTCGGCTACTTCGTCTGTCTATTTCTATAGATTTTGAACCCCTTTATTGAAAATCCTCGCTCCGTCACTGCCAATAGCTTTTTCATAGATCTTGTATTTGTACTAAAAATTATATATATATAGGCGCAACTAGGTGGGGTTCATGAGTTCGGACGAATCCAATAGTTTTTTCATAGATCTTGTATTTGTACTAATATATATATATATATAGAAGGAGATGTTTTTCATGCTAGAGTTGTGGGTTCGAACCCTCCCTCATTTTTTTAAAAACGAATTTAGAACTCTCAGACTCTTAATCCTGACTCCGCATATGTTGATAATTAAAAATTCTTTATTCTGAAAATGACTATTAATTGTCATTATTTCTCTAAAATTAACATCGCTTTATTATAACTATGACAGCATTTTTGTCTTTTTGTCCTTTTTTATAAACTTGGGGTCTTAATCATAAGTTCGTTAACCCACTAGCTTATTTATAATAAAAAATGGATAAATAATATTTATCGAGAAAATTAATGGAAAGATAACTAATAGCCTACATGTTAATTATCTGTTAATACGGTTCTATTTTCCAAGATCGATTGAAATTGGTGTCAATTTACCATCGATCCTTTAGCTTAGACTCCCTCTAGTCCATAATAAATAATTTTTGAGCCATTTTTTAATACTTAAAATAAGTTAATTGGTCAATATTTAAGAGAGTTATTTTAAATCTCTTTCATTTTTGCTTTTCATTTATATTTTCTTGGTGATAAGTTCAACACAGTTAATTGCTTATATTTATGATTTTACTTTGAATTATTCTATTTTCAAGAATAGTTTGAGAATAATTAAAAGACTAAAAGTGAAAAGTGGTGTTCAATTAATATCCTTTTTTTTTGTTTTAATGAATATGCATTGCCTCAGAAATTTAGTACTCCTTCTGTTCCTTTTTAGTTATCACAGTTTTTTTTAGAATCAAATGATAAGAACTTTGACTAACATTTTACGATATATTTTTTGTATGATTTTTAAATATTTAATTTTTAGTTTAAAATATCGAATTAATGTAAACTAATTTAACTTTAAAAATAAATCAAATTAACTTTCGAAATTCCCAACATAACAACTAAAAAAACAGAGTGAGTATCTTTTTCCCTCACTTTTGGCAAGTAAAATCAAGTATATTTCAACCAGTGGCAATTTCATTAATTTCCTTTTTAACTAAAGAGTATTTAAATACTTTAATGTCCCCGTTTTGAAGGGTTTTTTGTCGGTTCTTTTGTACAACACTATTTGAATCTTCTTTTTGGATTGACAAAAATATGAATAATTAGGTCATTAGGAAGGCCATTATCCTTAACTAGGGGAGGTTCAGCTGGTAATCTCGTCCTAATCCCAAAAGTTTAATGGGTCATTAAGTGAAACTTATCTCTCAATATCTAACCATATAGATACTAGGATATATAGTATTTATTTTTAGATTTCTAATTGGATATCAGCTGAGTACTATCCTTTTTATTATAAACTAGATAATGTTGCCCGTGCTATGCACGGGCCCAATAATATAAATGGTATATTTTGGGGATAATGACCGAGTTTTTGAAGCGATTGTTTGCGTGGATAAAGGTATAAGTTTTTTATCACAAACCTGTACTTTCTTTGATGCTATTTAAGGCATAATAAGACTACCCACATACAACATTTTTGAAATATTTTATGTTGTCAATTATCATGATTTATAGTATTTTTACGATAGATTCACTTCAAGAATCAGTGGAATTTTTTCAAAACATATTTTATATTATCAATTATCATGATTTATAGTATTTTTACGATAGATTCACTTCAAGAATCAGTGGAATTTTTTCAAAACATATTTTATATTATCAATTATCATGATTTATAGTATTTTTACGATAGATTCACTTCAAGAATCAGTGGAATTTTTTCAAAACATATTTTATATTATCAATTATCATGATTTATAGTATTTTTACGCAATTTTTAAATATAAAAATAAATAAAAA